AGAGGAACCGGGAAACCCTGACAGCTGTACTTTGAAAACTACAGGTCAGCTAATGACAAACTGGCAAGAGGCTCCGAATGAATGGGCAGTTTCTACACTGCTCCATTCAGTCTCAGCAGGTTCTTTCAGTGAAGGTGGTTTAACCCTTTAACACCTCAGTAGGAAAGGTCTCTAGGCTGCCAGAGGGCCCGCCCACCGCTCTCTCTAGGTTCTTTGTGACGACGTCCCATTTAGTTAATTAAGCTCCAACCAAGTAATGACTTACTGCCCCTAAAAGGCATTAAAAGGTGGGGGAGTGGTGGTGAGGGAAGCCTGGGGCTCGCCTTTCCTACAGCCTACTGAGGAATACAGTCTCCGCATCTCTGCTGAGGATGGCCCTGCTGGGAGAATAAGGAAGGCTGTGAGGCAGCTGGATTGGTCTGCGAATCCCCGCTCTGCTCCTCAGCCCCCCACCCCACCGCACCCCCAAGGCCAGCATCAACACCAAGGAGCTCACCTCTGCACAGAATCTGTGAGAGACCACAAAAGAAAACAGCTGCTTTTCATCGGTCTGTCCCATCACCAGTTACCAGCTCTCAGCCCTATTCTCTTCCGCATCCACAAGCCGGCTGAGCAACAAAGCCCCAGCACAGAGTGAGTGGGAGAGGCCTTGCTGGACTTTGGTTCTGAATTCTTCTAACCGGCTTCCGTGTCTCACCCCCATAATTATTGTCCTCTCGGATCCCCTTCAAGAAGGCTTAGAAGTCAAGGAGGGCAGAATGGGAAGAAGCCTGTTAACCTCCGCAGTTAGGGAACTCTGGGCCCACAGCGCAGTTTGGGGGTGGGGACAGAAACCCAAACCCCCAGGGGAAGCCCTTGCTCACCTACACCAAGATGACTGCATTTTTCTCACCACCCTCCACTAAGAAATGAACTGGTAATAATAGATTTTAGCTTACTCCTGGGATGGAGCAGGAAATGACTCCCACCTCCCTCCAACCAGAAAAAGACTGGCCGACAAGGGAAACCACTCTTCTGCAAATGGCCACCTGCCCCAGAAGGGCCCCTTCCCTCCTCCGCGAGATGCAGCACATCTGTGCTCCCTCCCCCCCGTGCCCTTGCTTCCGCTGCTGACTGTCCTTGGAAAGAACAATCGTGATCGCAGCTGAACGGTGGAGCCTCTTAAGCCCAGCCACATGCCCCGGATACATCCACAGCCTTGTCAGCTGTCCGGATCTGCAGGGTGGCCCCAGACCCCTGACAGCCAGGAATACCCCGCCTCTTACCTCATGCAACACCCCATACCTCCTGGGCAGGCAGGAGCTCCCTTACAACCAGGTGGATGCCCAGTGGTAAGAAGGGCACAGTGTGGCCCAGGCCTGTTCCCTGGACTGTGTGATGGGGAGATTAAGGCCCGAGGTTAGCAGGTCTCCTAGCCACTCATCTGTTCTGACTGGCCTCAAGCTTGGCCTAGAAAAAGTAATACAGTTTTTGGTATGTTCTCTTCATCACTTTCTTCTTTTGAAAGGAAAAAATATATTCCGGTGAGTCACTGGTCACCCTTCTGTCAGGGTGATCCAGGTTGACCATGAAATGGAACCTTCGCCACTCTTGCAGTTCACCTTCCTTCGAAACACTGTCATGTCTACACCCCAAACTGTATCTCTAGATCTTGAGGTTTGTGCAAGAATCTTCCCCCAAATTTTCCTCGTAAGAGAACTTGTGCCTCAGTAGGGGCTGGATGACAGGCACCCTGGACGCAGAACAAAATAACTGCCACAACTCTCTAAGAACACTGAACTTCTCTGAAGGAAAAGAAGGGCTTCTTTTCTAAGCTTCCTTGGTACCAACAGCGGGGCCCTCCCCAAAAGGATAGCCTGAGGAAAGAAAGATGTTTGTGGGGGCCAAAACCTGGGGGCTGGAAGACGGCACACAAAGGGACTTTTATTTTAGCATCAGAAATTGGATCATCAGCCCCTGCATGTGGTCCCAAAGTATTAACCCCCAGAGCAACACACCTCAGGGGCCGCTCCTAGAGGTGTGAATATTTCTTTCTTAATTTTCAAATCACTGACTTTCAGATTTTGCACTGAAAGGCTGCCTTCATTTGCTATTCAAGTCAGCCAAACCTGTGGCAGAGCAAGGTCAGGTTTACCGGAGTGGGAGTTGTAAACTACTTATGAACTATTCAGAGGGTGGAATTCCAAAGCTTCATCTCCACCTATTCTGGAAGGAGGAAAAAAAAAAAAAAAAAAAAGACATCTGGGAGCTCCAAATGTCACCAGCCCCCACCCCAGCCTCTGCACCCCTTTGGCCAGGAATAGGTCTAGTCCATGTTGTGCCTCTTCCCAGCAAGCCCAACTAAAGCTTTAAGGAACCCTTGCCATTTCAGAGGGTAATCCGGAAAAGGTCGTGGGAATGAGCAGGTCAGCATTTATACTCCACAAAAAGCTAAAAAGGAAGATAAACAGGAGATGTGTTTAAAATCTTCATTGCCCTAGCTGACCAATATTTGCCCATCAAGGAGATTTCAGAAATCTGCCCCCAAAATGCCCCCTACCCAGTCCTGGTCACATAGCTCAGTTGGTCAGTACACACACTTTTCACATTAGGGATCACTTGGAGCCTGCTGGCAAGTGAGGACCCTTCTAAGGGCTGGGAAAAAGGAAATCTGATTTCACACCGGACATGTCTACAACTTCTTTCCCACCCTTCTGCTGAGAGAGAGAGAGAGAGAGACAGACGGACAGAGAGAGAGAGAGAGAGAGAGAGAGAGGGGCCAACTGTAGCCCTTCCTTTCCTGTGTGCCCACACACTGAGGCGGGGGTGAGGGGGGGTTGAGAATTTCAGATGTTTATGCTCCATTCGCATGAAGATCCAGAGAACTCTAAACATTGTGAAATCACCATTGCAATATTGGGTAGGGCCTCAGGCCAGACGGATCTTATTAAGAGATTGATAAACTCACATTTCTTTAAATGCTCTGGGCCTTCACCTTTCAGCTTTGTGTCCCTGAGAGGCTCATCAGAGAGACTGGAAAGCCTTGGCCAGCTACCCAGACATGCACTTGCTCCTGCCCCTCCCCAGACTGGAGAGAGTCATCATACCACCCATTTGGAGGCAGGATACAGGGGGTCCCCCACTGGATCTGGGCATCCCATGGAACCTACACCTTTTCTTTTAGCACTACCTATGCTGGTGTGTGTGTGGCGCTCCTGGTGCCTCCATGTCCAGCAGGCAGCCTCGGGCCTCACCCAGGCCTGGCAATATGGATGCCCATCCAGCAGCTGGTGAATGAGGCAGCCAGTAGCTCTCTCCTCTGCCCACCATCCAGCCCCTCCAGGCCAGTCCGCTTCTCCTATCCATCACTCAGCCCACCAAGCCACACAACCGTTTTCCTCCTCTCTTGACTCCACTGCCCACAACCCCCAGCCCCCAATCAAAGAGAATTGAGAAATCGTCTTCTTGCACAAGAGCAGCTACTGTCTAAATGCTTTTTGATCGTCTGCATGGAGGGGGAACTGGGCACAGCCCTGGCCCCAGTGACGGAGCCAAACTCCGGCTGCCTGGATGGCCAAACCCGCCCTCGCCCCCCTTCATGGCCCCCGTGGCCGTGGCGATTCGGAATTTTGTGAACGTACCGTCTCTATCCTTCTCTCTTCTCGGTCATGTCAAGCTGGTACCACTAAGGAAGGAGGGAAAGCGGGAGCCGTATCTCTCCTACGCATGCAACCTCTTCCTCCAGCTCCCACACGCCCGGCGTTATGTAAACGCACCTTCAGCCCCCACCACAGCCCTAGAGCGGCCGGGGGGCCCCGGGGCCTGGCACAGCTAGGTGGCCGGGGACAGGGAGGTAAAGGAGCCCAAGGGCTTTCGGGCCCTACAGAGGCCGAGGAAGGGAAAGGCAACTGCAGGGCAGTTGCACAGCATAAAATGCGGCAGCAGAGCAAAGGTCAGACGGCGAGGAACCACCTCGCCGAAGAGAGGGGGCATAAATGCACAGTCCCGGGCCGACCCCGCGCAGACCATCGAGGGAGAGGTAGAAGGGTGGAAACCCGGTCCGACACGGATCCGAAGGGGGAAAGAAAACCCTACGTCGAGCATAGGCCGCTGCGGCGGGCTGGGGAGATCTACGGCAGAGCGGGCACCGTGGGCACCGAGCCCGGGGTGGGCGAGGGCGCCCGCTGGACCCAAGAGGTGGCTCCTAACGGAGCCCATAGCCGACCGTTCCAGAGCGGGTGGTGGCAACAAGAGGAAAGAGTCTAAAGCCAAAGGCAAACTCCCGGGACATGCACGGGGCTTCCCGAGTCACAGAGAGCGGGGAAGCCAGGCTAGGCTCTGCCCCGGGGTCGAAAACGCCGGTGCCAGGCTGTGAACACTCCCGGCGCCGTGCCGGCCCAGTCGAGGGCGTCAGGGAGCTGCGGCACACCGCAGCGGCTCAAGGAGGCGCAGGCAGAGGGAAAGAGCGCCGAGGCGCGCCTAGAAATAGCGCACCATTTGCCCCAGCCGGAGGGGGAGTAGCGTCGCGGCACAGTGGGGGGCAGTTTCGAATCCCGAAACCCGCCAGGGACTTACTTTGAAGAGCCGCAGAGTCACAAGCATTGCTCCACGTCTGGGTAAATCTTCGAACCCGAACGGGTCAGACGCCGCTGTCCTCGCAGACGCCGGCCGGAGCAACAGACACTGCTCCTTGCGCTCGGCAGCGCCAGTTCCGCGCTGTCAGCTCCTCTCGCTGCCTCTTCGGCGATGTTGCAACCACTGCCTGGGAAAAATGGCTTTTTTATGAATGGGAGGGAAGGGATCTCCAGTGCGCAAGCGCGCCGTTCGCGATTCTATGAATGGGTGGGCACAAGAGACCCCGCGCGCGCATGCGCCGCGCTCCTTTTTTATGAATGGGGGGCCGGAAAAGAACTTAACCCGTGATTGCTGGGGCTGGCTCTCGCTCCTTCAGGGGCCGTCGTTCTTTTACAAAGAGGGGTGGAGGTAGTTGTTTTTTTTTTTTTTTTTTTAATGAATGGAGGGCGGCGGCGACTGCTGCAGCTGGCTCAGCTGCGCGGGCTGTGCCCCCTCCCCGCCAGCGAGAGGAGGTAAAGGCCACCTTCACGCCCCTGCGGGCCTGGGCAGGAACCGTCAGTGTCGCTGGGGGGCGGGGGACACTGCGGCCTCTGGATCTCGGGCAGAGAGCCGGGTGGGGAGGACACACCTAGATCTAGGGATCTCTCCAGGCCGCAGCCAGTCGCGGGGAGGCGGGGGACAGGAAGACCCCTGCTGGGGGCCTTCTCTTTAAACTGGAGGCGTCGGGAGAGGGGTCTTGAAACTGCGTTTACCGGAAATTAAGATAATGTCTTTATCAAAATAGGGCAGAGCGGGGGCTCTTGAGTGAATCTGGTTCTTTTCCTGAGGCTAAGTCTCCCTAGAGCAAGGGCAGACCACCCATGCCCGCATTTCTTGGGTGTGGACAGCTACTAGGCCGAAGCCTCCTGCGGCTCTAGTACCCCCCGGGGCGATGCTGGTTACTTAGAGGAGACCTGACTCCCCTGGCAGCGCTCCGTTTCACCCGCGCCCTAGTGTCGTGTCTGCAGTGCCCCGGCGTCCACCCGCCCTCGGCTGCCCTGGCTAGCCGCCCCGCTGCCCACCCCCTTGCGTTTCCCAGCCCTTAAGGGATGTGGGCCTGAGGAGCCTCTGTCCACCGAACTGCACGGCCCTTTGCTTCTGTAGGCACTTTTCCTCAACCTTTACCCCCACCTCTGCCCCCCAGCCAGCTCCCCTTCTGGGAAGCGGGAGCCGCGTAGAATCGGCCAGGTGGGTGGGTGGAGCCGGCTGCGCTGAAGATGCTGCCGGGGTGGCTGCAGGATTAAATAACAACAGGGTTCTCGGACCGCAGAGGAAATGGAAATGGCCGGGGATCCATTCTTTGCAGTTAATGATGGTGCGTGGTGTGGGGGGAGCGCACCAGCCCTGACTGGTGAAAAGAAAAGCCCCCGCCATTAGGCCTGACTCCAGGAAGGCGGGGAGGCTTCGCAGCAGGCCCAGCTCCGCCCAGGAACGGAGGAGGCTGTAGCCTTCGGGGAGTTGGGGGTAGCGGGTGGCTTTGATTTGTAAGAGCTGGGCCAGGGCCTGAATCCCCTGTAAGGTTCGTCTTGGTGGTGTTCTGGCTTCACTAGGAAGTTGTGAGACTGTCGTTTTCTTCCTACGCCACCAAAGGACTGTTCTTGGCTGTTGCCGGAGGAGCCAATGAAAGGCTCCCAGGCCAGGCGGGAGGTCTAGCCTTGGGCTGGGGCTGGGGCTGGGGCTGGGCTCTGGAGATTGGCAGCGAGGGCCATCTTGCAAACCCACATCACAACCCAAGGTCACTGAGTCTCAGTCTAAAATGACTTCTCACCACTTAGACGCACCTTTGCAGTGTGATTTACTTGGTTCCCGGAGGCAGAGCAGGCCCTTCTCTAGGGAACCCCTGTCTTCCTTTCAACCACTCGACCTTCCTAAAAGAGAAAAAGAAAACTTTTTACTAGGACAATATTGTACATTTGTTCTGGGCTTCCCTTTCCAGGCATTGAAGTTCAATGTCATTATTCCCATTTGTCAGATAAAGAATTGAGGAGGAGGGTCCTGTACCTGGAAAATGCAGTAAATTGTGTGGATTTTCTAGATATTTGCAATCTGATTCTTTCAATTTTGCTACCACCCCTTCTCAGCAAACCTAAAAACGTGTTTCTTGCAAGTCATTTAAGCATGTTAAACAAGGAAAGTGGAGCAGTAATTTTCCAGCCAGTGCTCACTCATGGGCCTTGCTAGATCAAATAAAAGGATGGGAATAAATAAATCCTTTCTAAACCATGGAAGAAAAGCAGGATGGTGGTTGTGGTGGTGATAGGGGTTTGTGGTCCTGTTCTTTATTAAAGGAATTAGCCAAGAGACAGACAAGGTTCCATTCCTGAAGGAGGAGGTGAGGAGACCCCACCCCTGGGGAGATGGTGGGGCAGTGGAGGACCCCCTAGTCCTGAACAGGGAGGAGCCTCTGGGGCCTGAGCAGAGTGTGATTCAGAATGTCTGCAAGGTAACTAAGGTACATATTCTGCTCCTACTTGGAACGCAAAAAGAAGAGAACTGTCAGAGGAGAAATGTATCCACCCATCCGTATATTAGTATATTCTCTGCTAGTACTTGTCCTGACTCTGGGGATGGGGTGAGAGACAGCCATCCTCCCCTGCCTTTGTGAGGCTCATAGACTTGGGGACACAGACTACACGTGTGAGGCTCTGATAAGTGCTAGGATGGAAGACAAAGCAGGGTCCAAGGGTGTGGGGAGGGGGGAAGAACCCATTTTAATTTGGTAACCAGGGCTTGCGGTCATCAGCTGAGACCAGACCCAGAGGGAGTGAGCCTGAGGGAGACTGAGGAGGTGGCGGAGTCTGGGCGGGGCCTCCACGTGGGAAAGGCCCCACGGGGAGGTGCTCACAGGGGAGGGGGCGGGGCCTGTGGCCCCAGCTTCGCAGGCAATGTCGAAGTTGTCGTGGCGTCCAGGAGTTCAGATAGAGGTTTTAAACAGGGTCGTGACATGCTGATTAAATGTCTCCAGCAGCCCAGGGGCCAGTGGTTGGGGGTTAAGGGACAGAGTGAAAGATGGTGGGGGTGGGGCTGGTGGCGGTGAAACATTCCCTCCTTCTCAGGTTGGAGGTGCACTTTCCTTTCCTTGGGTTGTGGGGTCAGTAGGCCTTGCTGGATTTTTTTTTTTTTCTGCTTCATCTGATTTTGTCCATTCCACTGTCTCCCCCAGGTATAAATTTTCTGCTTGAGGCAAATCCTAGCAACCCTGCATTCCTGCCCTGCTAATTACAGCCTTGTACCCCAATCTCAGAGTAAACGTCTTCACCCCCACCAGGTCGGGCCAGGGGAGGAGAATGGGTTCAGCTTTGGGCTTTGCCCTCATATTAAGCTCCTGGCCTTGGGAACTGAGTTAGTGGGAGTGAGGAGAAGAATGGATTCCAAGTCAATGGCAGACATTTATTGAGCACTTATCATGTGCCATGCCTGTGCTAGGCATATTTGCATATGTAATGTTGCTTTAGAAAGCTGTATTCTGGGTCTTCTCATCCCTCTATTAAGATAAGAAGTTAACAGCTCCGTTTTAAGTATTTATCAATTCCACAAAATATTATGCTCTTCCTGTGTGTCAAGCACAGTACTAGGTGTTGGGGTACCTGTGATAAAAGAGATACATGCTATTTTGCCCTTACAGACCTTACTATCAGTGGTGATATCATGGTGAGGGGAGTGGGGGTGAATTGTGCTTTCCCCCTATAATCTTCATCAATACCCTCATTCATTTCTATATTCAGTTGACATTCTCAACCTTCTGTCAAGTGCTAAGCACTGGAAGCCAAACCCTTAACCTAAACAGATTACCTGCCCTCACCTGTATGGAAATTCTGGAACTGCTACTGTTTATAGTCAAGTAGGGGAGGTAGACATTAAACAAATAATTGTTCAAAGAATGATTTAATTACAGTTAACATCAGTGAGGCATTAGGTAGTGCAGAGAGCAAAGGAGGAGGGCACAGCCCTGGGGCTCTGGAGAAGCTTCCCTGCAGCTCGGATCTGCAGAATGGGCTCACTGGTGGAAGGCCCAGAAGCAGGAAGGAGCCTTGGGGAGTAATAGAGTAACTGATAATAGCCAGGGGGACCCTAGTTCTCTGAGAAGGGAGGACGTGTCAGATCCAAGGTTAGAACTCTTTTGACACTAGCCCCTAGGCTTCCTGGCTCAGTGTATTCAGCTTGGGAGGCTGCAGAGCTTGAAGATGGATGTGCAGACACTGACTCACAGACTGTCAGGGTTCAATCCTACCCTTATAAGCTCTGTAGCTTTGGACAAGTCATTCAGATTTATCTGCCTCAGTTTCTTGCTCTGTAATGTGAAAACTAGTAGTACTGACTGCAAAGGATCAAGTGGCACTTGAATGGAATAATGCACATAAAGCACTTGGAAGAGTGCCTGGCGCATTGTAAGTGCTGAATGCACGTTTAGATGATTCTTCAACATACCAGCCATTTTGATGCAAAGAATGAGTTAGAATTTTAAGAGGAGCCCCCTTATCTTCATGCATCAGAACCTCAGAAAGAGAAAAACAATATAAAATGCTAATGAAGTTTTCTTTATTAATAAATAGTTAAAGCAATAATACTGTGGCTGTCATTGCTCTTTTACCTAGTACAGTTTTTATAGGACAAAAGTTGTATTTTCATCTGTGTAGTTGGGTTTCTTAAGTAATCCATCCACAAGTGGATTTTAACCATGCCCAACACAGATGTTTGAACTGCAGTGGTAACAGATAGTGAGATATGATGCTGAATGTACACTGAATGATGACTTTCTTATATCAATATTGGGGGGAGGGTGGTTAAGCACTTGGTGACTTTGCATAATTTTTAATGTCTAAAACCCTCTATTGTAAGAAGAAGAAAGTCATGGTATCTGCTTCAGAGGGTTGTAGGGTGGGCATTATGTTTTTCAAATAATTTAGCTCATAGCCATGTGCAGATATTTTTTGTGTGGTCCTCTAATTCCTCTGTATAACAAGGAAATTTTAGAGATTTTGACTTGATTATGATAATACAGATCACTGGCTTCCTCTTTGCTATCCTTCCAATACCCATGGTTTTCACTCTTGCTGAACAGGGCAGTGGAATGTTACGTAAGCAAGCGAAGCATTCCTGAAGACCTCACACAACCCAAGAGTGATTTTCTCATAGGTATGAATGTAAAGTCAGATCTGCACTGTATCAGCTTTGGTTACAGAATCTAGATTTTTATGAATGTATTTATATGACACAGCTCAGATTTGCATTATTTCAAATTCACATAAAATGCAAGGACCCTATTCATTTCATATGTGGGAGCTAAATCCAAGCAACCGCTGAGAGCGGTGAGCTGGAAGAGAAGGGAAAAAATGGCCAGGAGTAGCCCCCTTGGTCTTTGCTTACAAATCACAGAAATTCCCTGGTGACCCTGAAAACTCAGGTGGTACAGAAGTTGGTAAGTTCTGGCTCTGGGATAGACAGACTTAGACTTTGCCCAAAGTGCCGCTTA